GCAAAGTGCAAACACTTTTTTCGGTATTTACCATATAACCCCAAAAGTAATCCTGGTAATACCTTAAATAGTTTAGTGTGAAAGAAGTCTAACACTTACCATCCGATACAGTTTCTATTTTGTCCGGTGGAGGAGATGAAGGACTACTCGGATCTAAACAGGAAAGAAGAAACAGATTTTCCCCATTAAACTGATTCACAGCGTGCCACAATACAATGAGATACGGATTGACAATAACGTACAAACCACTTGTTGAACAGATGTTGGCTACTAGGTGTAAATCGACAAAACAGCTGTATGTTCCTTGATTGATATGCTTTGAAATGTGTCCAATGACACCAAATAACCCGGATGTTTCTGGTTTATCAGGTGAAGCATTGATTACTTACTTAGTAATCAGGTGTGGTAGGTTTGTTTTTTAACCAATTGAAAACTGTTTTTGTCAAGGTACGTAGGTAAAGCACCTGTACAGTGAAAAATATAAGGAAGTCATATAAAACGTGATAACAAATGATAATCTGGTAGTGTAAAACGTAAGTAATTGATATGTAAGGTGAAGTGCAAAATAAATCACTAAAATCACAGTGGTTAATGTAAGAGTGTTGCTTTTGTTACACGATATTGAAATGCTGCCAAATAGTGTATTGCGGAACGTCTCGGTGTGAACACACATGTATTCCCTAACTTGGTAACACGGATGACACCCTTGGACAAGGTATGCAGAACATTGTGATCGTAAAACACATCACCTGTGTATAACCAGTCCCGGATCCGTGTAACTCGCTCTCACATGATTAGAAACACTAATGTGATTGTTTCACAAAGTAGCTTTTGAATATGGACATATATTCTGAAAACACAATCAATCAACAAAATATGACTCATCAAAAGTTTAATGGAGGAAAAGTACCCATATCGAGCCAAAACAATATCAAATAAAAGAAAAGTATAAATTTTCCCCCAAAAAAAACAGGTACAAGATGTTGACATGTCAAGCTACAATTCGCCTTTATTGGTTCATTTCGTCACTATCTAAGTCTTTAACCCTCCGGGATCCGCAGGAATTCCTACAGTGTTACTTACAAACCATTGCATTTAATTACAATATGGAATTCTTATATGAACTATCTTAAAAAGGGGTTCTTGATACCTGTACGATTAATATGTTGTTTTCAGTTTTACTGTACCTCTACAGGGATAATGGGTCAGTTGGATGCGAAAGCATCGACCTCTATATATTACTGATTCTCCTATGATATTAAGAATCATAGGGGAGTCAGTTATATGTAATAATCTCTACAGTATCCCAAAAAACAAAACGCATATTGTTAATAAGATAACCAATCAACGGGAGCTGTACAGACAAAACAATGGAGATTTGAGGAGAGAACCTTAGTTCTATGTATGTGTTCTAAAACATCTTAAGGCCTGTGGACTAGTTAAGTTTATGACGTTCAAAAGAGATCGACCTTGATAGGGATTCGTCACTGATAATCTATTAGCTAACGTGACATTCACTGTCTATTTATATTTATATATTTATATCTAAATATAAAATATCAGTGACGAATCCCTATCAAGGTCGACCTCTTTTGAACGTCATAAACTTAACTAGTCCACAGGCCTTACAACATTATTTATATCTTCATATTTATATTATATATCAATATAGAATGTTACCTTAGATAATGAATGTGGTAAAATAAGTCCGTGGGTTGGTGCTTACAATGTATTATTAGTGAAAGTGTGATTATATGGCAAGGGCTTGTTCGATAGCTCGTAGCTAAAGGTCGTTGTTTATTCTCACGCTTTCTCTGTTTCTAACGGTTAAAACTCACAACAATTGACTTTAATCACATTGTCGGTTGACTGTTCGACAACGCTTTACGAGCATTCATACTATGTACCAGCACATAGTTTGTAATTAACAAATATAATTTGAATCACGCTCTTGAAGCTCTTTTTCACTCAAAACACAATCTAAAGTCATTAGTTGTAACAGTCCACTTCACCCTGGATGTCATACAGGGCTAAATGGAAGAAAATCAGTAAACGACAGTGGAAATTAGAAAGATGAGGTAAAAAAAAAAAAAAAATTAAAAAAGATTCTGAGGTATTACAATGGGAAAGCATGTCTTCTTCCATTTCTCATTAAGCAAACTATTTCATTTCTACATTGGCTCCAACCATGTACATCGCATTTACTGTCATGTAATGGGAAACAGTATGCAAACTTACTTTCCCCAAATCAGAAGGGAATATGATTTGATGACTATGGTAGATATAACAAGATAACCCACCTTGCTGGAGACTTTGTTGATTTTGTTTCCACTTCTCAACATCTCTTTCTACAACAAAGAAACAAAAACAGGAGACATGCGACCACCTTAAAAATCAAAGGTTACGCTTCATTGAACAGGATTACATCAAAAGCGCTTCGCACGCTATCTTTTTTTAGTTTCATAATTCTTCAATCCTATCTAAGGAGAGTGCCGAAACACGGAAACGTTTATCAGCACAGCAAATCATTATCTCGTCAAGTTGCATTTACAGATTCGATGCAAACGTTTGGCTAAAATTGGGACATGATTTAATGTCGATAATCGAACCTAATAAGGTTACTTATCGGCATAAAAAAGTAATCTTTTTGTAAATGTAGAAGCCAAAAAGGCCTTTTTCACGTTCTCAACCCGTAAGCATAGAACACATGAGAAAATAATCTGTTCACAAAGGTACCGCATATTTGTCGTCTTATACGAGTATTGCATTGGGATGTACCAGGCTAAATATTTTCCGATATCCTTCAACCTTAAGACATCGAATATCTGCATCAACCCTTTAGCTATGTGAGTAGTATACCCCTAAACGTGATATACGATAGATAGGCTTAATAGGATATCACGGAAGTGTGCTAATTATTATCGTATAGGATATCACGGAAGTGTGCTAATTATAATCGCTGTGCAATGCTAAATACCAAAGGGATCATTTTCAATAGTAGTCGAAGACTAATGGTATGACGTCGACAACGGTGGACCCAAGTATAACCACGAAGTTCAAACAAATCATACTTTCTCTTTCATAACCAAACACATATCTCGATATTTTGATTGAAATACATGAAGATACAAAAACGTATTATATAGGTTTTACTACAAAGACACGTCTGGCCAATTACAGTATAATCACAATTTGTAAAATAATGAAGCAGAATGTTATTTAATCTCTTCTTAAACACAAATAGTTTTAGGTCAGATATTAATTTCTGTCTTTGTTTCCTTACTTATAACACAGGTTAAAGGCCACATATTACACTCGCAAGTAGCATCATATATAAATATAGTTTTATAGATTTCCCGTCGTACCTATATGTAATAAACAACAACATGCACTTAATTTTGTAAACAGTTGGCATAAATGGAACATTCTACCATTTTTAAGTGATAAAAGCATCTAATTGCTTTGCCTCAAATAAAGTTCATACTTTTCCCAGATATATACATGATGCCTACAAAGACATATCAGAAAACAACTCATGATTTTCCTTACCTATCATTTGACGACATTCGCTAATAACGTCAAACCTTTCAAGCTGAGAGAGGAAGCTTAGGAGGTTCCCAACTGTTGGTTCTGGGTCATTCCGGGTGTTCCACAAGTGGAGCATTTCCTGTGTTGGACTCTTCCGACGTTTCATGTTTTCTATTTCCAGTTGTGAGAAGTTCAAAAGTTCAGCACAACCACACCAGTCGTTGAACATGTCCGAGTCTGGGATAAGACTTCCTTCCGGGTCCATGAACATGCCTATTTTTCTTCTACATCCATTGTTTAACGAGTTCATATGTACATCTTTCGTTGACTCGATTAGTTTCTCGACTGTCGTTTCCGCCATTGCCTTCTAATTGTTTCTCAAAACCAAAACCAAGACTTGAAAGAAAAGAAATCAGAGTGTATCCTGTTCCAAACACTTAGCACTTTGTCAGGTTCGCCTTTGTTCATCCTTCGCTGTAAAGTAAAGGAACGGATCCAAAGTGGAACAGGTCAACCAATTTTACTTGGCTTGTACCGATGGTATATTATGCACGACAGGGGTGATCGCCGAGTACAGCTGGGTGTTTCCACGGGTAGACTCAACTCTAGTACTGTGGAATTTCCCAAACTCTGTTTGATTTAACTTCCGCCTTCAGATAAGAAAGTCCACATTCATTTGTAACGATCCCACACGTGTGACAATAAGTATGTAGCTTTGTTTACGCAATTATATACATATACCCTTTCATTCACAGACGACTTCCTGCTCTCAAACTGTGTATTGATAATATACACAATGAAACAACAGGTAAAGACAGGTTCCCTTCATACATATATCAGACTATAGCTTGTGAATGGAAAAAATCTTAAAGTAAATTCATTAGGGTTCAAGTACATATATGTTAACAAATTACACACATATACCCATACCCATAGAAATGAACGCAGGTCCGGTTATTATATTCGATCGTTTTAGTTTTACGTAAGTGTGGAACATATTTTATTCTATTCAATTATTTATTTGTGTAACAGAAGAGGAAAAACGCACGGCCACACCGGGGTTCGAACCCGGGACCTTCCAAACTCTAGACAGACGCTAAAACAATTGAGCTATCTGGTCGCCGACGATCGACCCAGTCCAGATCCGCTACATTTGTAAAATATTATGCAAATATTTTTAGCCAAATAATACAATTTCAATTAATACAATGCTTATAAAAATCTGCGCCTTTTCTTTTTCAGCACATTAGTTATGTGACTACAGAAAAGTAAAGGTAGGTCAACATTACTGTACCTCATTGCCTAACTTGGCAGTAACATTCAAACAGGGTTTCGTCTTTAAACTTTGATAGTTAAATTATATATTATGTTATTACCGATAGTATTGCTGAATGCTGCAAGAAGAAAGTAACTCCTGTATACGTCAGCCAATAGGAACACGGCACGTTATCAGGTTACAAAGCTATAAGTCATAGCAAGGTAAGGAACTAGACGGACATGTCAGGTTATCGAACTCTGACGAATCGTATCAGGAATAGTATTGATTGAAATTAGAGATCTCTGTCTTTACAATCGTAACCGGGTGTGTAATCAGATCACTGCAATATTGTTAAAGAGAAGAACCCAAATTACGCCAGAGTGACACATCGGAAATAATGTCTGTGTCGATTACAGATAATCATATGACAAGGACATGGATAAACAGAACAACATTAAAAGCCTGAAAATACTTCCTAAACAGATGGTTGTGACTTTTCACATCTTGTTAAAAAAAAAAAAGGCACTTTCCTTTTTTATACTTCTATTGGTTATTTTACTTCATGAAGTCGTTGATTCTGAGGGAGGGCTATCAGTCTAAAATGGTGGCCGATACTTTGTCGGAGGGATATCAGTCTAAAATGGTGATCGTTCCTCTGTAGGAGGGCTATCAGTCTAAAATGGTGATCGTTACTCTGTAGGGGGCTATCAGTCTAAAATGATGATCGTTACTCTGTAGGAGGGCTATCAGTCTAAAATGGTGATCGTTCCTCTGTAGGAGGGCTATCAGTCTAAAATGGTGATCGTTACTGTGTAGAAGGGCTATCAGTATAAAATGGTGGTCGTTACTCTGTAGGTGGGCTATCAGTCTAAAAAAAAGTGGTCGTTACTGTGTAGGAGGGCTATCAGTATAAAATGGTGATCGTTACTCTGTAGGGGTTATCAGTATAAAATGGTGATCGTTTCTCTGTAGGAGGGCTATCAGTCGAAAATGGTGGTCGTTACTCTGTAGGTGGGCTATCAGTCTAAAAAAAAGGGGTCGTTACTGTGTAGGAGGGCTATCAGTATAAAAAGGTGGCCGTTACTCTGTAGGAGGGCTATCTGTCTAAAATAGTGGCCTTCACTCTGTAGGAAGGCTATCAGTATAAAATGGGGGCCGTTACTCTGTATGAGGGTTATCAGTATAAAATGGTGGCCGTTACTCTGTATGAGGGTTATCAGTATAAAATGGTGGCCGTTACTCTGTATGAGGGTTATCAGTATAAAATGGTGGCCGTTACTCTGTATGAGGGTTATCAGTATAAAATGGTGGCCGTTACTCTGTAGGAGAGTGAGGTGGTCGTTACTCTGTAGGAAGACTATCAGTCTAAAATGGTGGTCGTTACACTTTAGGAGGGCTATCAGTATAAAATTGTGGCCTTCACTCTGTAGGAGGGCTATCAGTCGAAAATGGTGGTCGTTACTCTGTAGGAGGGCTATCTGTCTAAAATAGTGGCCTTCACTCTGTAGGAGGGCTATCAGTCTTAAATAGTGGCCGTTACTCTGTAGGGGGGCTATCAGTATCAAAATGTGGCCTTTACTTTGTGGGAGGGCTATCAGCATAATATGGTGGCCGCTACTCTAACGGAAGGCTATCAGTATAAAATGGTGGCCGTTACTCTGTATGAGGGTTATCAGTATAAAATGGTGATCGTTTCTCTGTAGGAGGGCCATCAGTCTAAAATGGTGGTCGTTACTCTGTAGGTGGGCTATCAGTCTAAAAAAAAGTGGTCGTTACTGTGTAGGAGGGCTATCAGTATAAAATGGTGGTCGTTACTCTTTAGGAGGGCTATCAGTCTAAATTGGTGATCGTTACTCTGTAGGGGTTATCAGTATAAAATGGTGGCCGTTACTCTGTATGAGGGTTATCAGTATAAAATGGTGGCCGTTACTCTGTATGAGGGTTATCAGTATAAAATGGTGATCGTTTCTCTGTAGGAGGGCCATCAGTCTAAAATGGTGGTCGTTCCTCTGTAGGAAGGCTATCAGTCTAAAATGGTGGTCGTTCCTCTGTAGGAAGGCTATCAGTCTAAAATGGTGATCGTTACTCTGTAGCAGGGCTATCAGTCTAAAATGGGGGCCGTTACTTTGTAGGAGGGCTATTAGTATAAAATCGTGGCCGCTTACTCTGTAGGAGGGCTTTCAGTATCAAAATGTGGCCTTTACTTTGTGGGAGGGCTATCAGCATAATATGGTGGCCGCTACTCTAAAGGAAGGCTATCAGTATAAAATGGTGGTCGTTACTCTTTAGGAGGGCTATCAGTCTAAATTGGTGATCGTTACTCTGTAGGGGTTATCAGTATAAAATGGTGGCCGTTACTCTGTAGGAGGGCTATCTGTCTAAAATAGTGGCCTTCACTCTGTAGGAAGGCTATCAGTATAAAATGGTGGTCGTTACTCTGTAGGAGGGCTATCTGTCTAAAATAGTGGCCTTCACTCTGTAGGAAGGCTATCAGTCTAAAATGGTGATCGTTATTCTGTAGGAGGGCTATCCGTCTAAAATGGTGATCGTTACTCTGTAGGGGGTTATCAGTATAAAATGGTGATCGTTACACTGTAGGAGGGCCATCAGTCTAAAATGGCGATCGTTACTCTGTAGGAGGGCTATCAGTATCAAAATGTGGCCTTTACTTTGTGGGAGGGCTATCAGCATAATATGGTGGCCGCTACTCTAAAGGAAGGCTATCAGTATAAAATGGTGGCCGTTACTCTGTATGAGGGTTATCAGTATAAAATGGTGGCCGTTACTCTGTAGGAGAGTGATCAGTAATAAATGGTGGCCGCTTACTCTGTATGAGACCTATCAGTATAAAACCGTGGCCGCTATTCTGTAGGAGGGATATCATTATAAAATGGTGGCCGCTGCTCTGTGGGAGGGATATCAGTATGAAATGGTGTCCGTTATTCTGTAGGAGGGCTATCAATTTAAAATGGTGGCCGCTACTTTGTAAGATGGCTATCAGTATAACATATATGCCGCTATCTCTGTAGGAGGGCTATCTGTATAAAATGGTGGCAGCTACTCTTTAGGAGGGCTATCAGTATAAAATACTGGCCGTTACTCTGTAGGAGGGCTATCAGTATAAAATGATGGCCGCTACTCTGTAGGAGACCTATCAGTATTAAATGATGGCCGCAACTCTGTAGGAGACCTATCGGTATTAAATGTTGGCCGCTACTCTGTAGGAGACCTATCGGTATTAAATGTTGGCCGCTACTCTGTAGGAGGGAATCAGAATAAAATGGTGGCCGCTACTCCGTAGGAGGGAATCAGAATATAACGGTTGCCGTTATTCTGTAGGAGGGCTATCCGTCTAAAGTATTGACCGTTACTTTGTAGGAGAGCTCTCAGTCATGACGGCCGTGTAGTATGCCGGTACCATCCGAAAGTTGAGACAGACGACACACGGGCTGATATTAACAAATCTCTTCACACTGGTGTTATTCTTGTAGGATAAAGTACCGATATGGGCTTGTAAAATTGGAAACCAGTTGGACCTTTCCGTCAGCTTGGCGCCCCATTTGAAAACATTAAGATTACTTCTAAGTTTCGGGTGTTCCTTTTTTTTTTATATCTGTTTGGTCCGAAATGGCCAGGGATGGGGTTGGGGGTTCTGATCCCCATTTTTGACGAAAAGATCTGGCTTATTTTCCTACTACCTAACACATTATTCTGTTCCCTGTGCTGACGTGATGTTTTTATTTGTCACAATTTAACTGTTTTAACAAGTCACATGTGTGTAACGCACACGTGTGTGACGTTTGTTGTTTTATAACCACGTGTCATACAATATGATTTAGACGTTGTCAACAGCAACTCGCTGCCGACGTCTACCGAAAGATGGGTTTATCGTGGGGTTACTTAGTGCATTCAACCTTTCGATGAACGCATCTCCGGATGAACGTGGTGATGAATCTCTAAGGTCACAGGCATTTTGGAAAAACGATTCTTCTTAATTTCAGGCATATTTTATTTTATTTTATCATAAATTAATAAGTTGTAAACTTGTATCAATAAAGATACTATAGCTAGAATAATAGGCTGTTTCGCCCTCTCTCGCGAAGGATTGGTTTGCACGGCTTCTCAAAGCCTTGGACCTAGCCATTGCCATTTTCGTTTCATCGTTCGAGTTTGATGCTATATTATTAGCTACATATTCGTCTTCATCTTTCCAACCGTCCGCGAAACTTTCTGGTAGTTCTATCAGCTTGCTCCGTCAGTCTAAAACAGCCAAACCACGATCCGTATTGAGTCCAGAGGTATCTAAATTTGTCGGTGGGGTAAACATTTATATTACCTACTTACATGTTAGATCTGCATGTGCATTGTGTGCCAGTGAAGATGAGTATAAAACGCTGAAATACATAATAGTCTTCATCGGGAATTTCAAACGACTCTCAGTCAATGTGTGACAAAGTCGTGGAAGTTGATCAAAATTCTGTTCGTCCCCTTGTCCTTTGTTACAGCGAGGTCAGGGTTGTGTCAAGAGGAAAAATATGCCTGATCAATTAGATTCCTGTACATCGAAGATAATACACGACAAAAATAAATTTAAAATGATGTTCGAAACACGAAAGTGGAGGTGGTTAAAGTTTGCTTTATGTTACATGCTACATGTGTACCTCATATAACTGGTTACAAGGGACCCCTAGGACCTGTAGTCCCCGGGACCCGTAGTCGTTCTGTAGTGCATTCAGGCCGTAGTACTGCGACGTTTGGCCTAAGTACGTCGCCACATTGACCACCAGCAGGACCTTGCCGCGGTAATCGGACAAGTGTAGAGTCTTCTGCGTGTAGTAGAGGTCCCTGATCGGGAAATCGTACACCGTGCTGGATCTATTGGACGGCTGGTTACAGACCACGGACTGACCACTCACGGAAGACAGCAAACCGAACAAGGCCGCCAAAATGGCGACCCCGCCAGACCTTTGTCCTGGCATGCTGACGCTCGTAGTACAAGTGACGATGACTGTCGTGCCCTCCGGATTATATTGAAGTGATGACCTAACTAAGGCAGGACCTTGAGAACATGGCAGATGGTTATCGCTGTAGTTCAATGTCCTTGTAACCTTGGCATAGATTCTTCGGTCGTTATTTGTCTATGGATTATTTCTCTCTAACCAATTATATCTCTCTAACCAATTATATCTCTCTAACCAATTGTATCTCTCTAACCAATTATATCTCTCTAACCAATTGTATCTCTCTAACCAATTGTATCTCTCTAACCAATTGTATCTCTCTTACCAATTGTATCTCTCTAACCAATTGTATCTCTCTAGCTAATTATATCTCTCTAACCAATTGTATCTTTCTGGCTAACTATATCTCTCTAACCAATTGTATCTCTCTAACCAATTGTATCTCTCTAACTAAGGCAGGACCTTGAGAACGCATATAAGCGAGGTTTTAAGAACATTTCAGAGTCTTACAGAAATCCACTATTTGAAAATAATAAATAAAACTGTTTTATTATTTACAGTAGGAATGCACCTCAGAGCACGTTTTTATCATCATCATATATATTTAAACAATATGCATAAGGGGTTTCCCAGAACAACCCTTCCTTTTTGGACGATGAGGTGCTGTCTTCCAATCAAAACGACACCCTTTTTTCATTTTCTATAAAGCTTTTTCCGCCATTGGCGACTGAAAATTAATCTATTTGTATTGTACTGCAAGTATCTTATTTAAATTCTTACTTCCACCCATCCTCGAAACTCCATGGGTTATGCTCACTTTTGCTCTCTGCACCCCTGGAATATGTTTACCAATGAGTTTCACCAAACCCGAAAATAGTCATCCGAACTTCTCTCCTATCCTATCTATCAATGGCAAACGTGTTGCTTGGCGACAGTAAACAAAATCACGCAAAATTAATAGCTGTGGACTATAACAACAAACACAAATATGTCAGCAAAACATTTTTGTTTTTTAAATGTGTCATTCATGTAATAACATCGCCCTCCACGCTATGTTAGGTAGGTAACTTTCCTTACTGTTGTTAATAATATACTGTATAGCTATAAATATAAACTAAATAACGCATGTTATAGTTTAACAATACAATTTAATAAAAAATCAAGAAACAAAACAAAATCGTCAAATATTGAGACAAAAAAGGCAATCATATGACAGATTTCTCAAAGGTCATAGAACTGATAACATGGATTTCAGAGATTATTTAACACAGATTTCAAAAATTATTTAACACAGATTTCATAGATTTATGTAACATGGATTTCAAAGATATATTTAACACATATTTCAGAGATTATTTAACACAGATTTCATAGATTAATAAATATAGATTTAGGTACATATTTCAAATATTTGTTAAAACACTTTTAATAAATATGTTAACACACTCATAAATAACTTGGTTACAAAGACTTTACAAATATGAGAAATTTTCGCTAATGAATATAAAAAGCAAGGGTTTTTTTACCACATTTTCGTGCCGCACGTTCACCATACTGTTTTGTTTGGTGTTACATACATTCCAAGTGGTGTATCGAGTAATATGTAATGGGCTGCAATTTATAATGGGTTCCAATATGATTCGACAATGACCAAAAGGCAAAGAGAGTTACCTTCGAATTGACTGCTATACTCTAATAATACAAATTTAACGAAAATGTCCTTTTTCAGTATTTCCGCATATAATCATTAAATAAGTCACACCTAACTATACATTCTTTTATATACCTATCCAGTCGCATATGCTAATAATACAAATAAGGGGATATAATATACAATTAGCACACAATGCCAACATATAGTATTTGTTATTATAATAAACGTGCTTCTGCCATGGTATTGGTAACTCATAACTGATACATTGGATGACACACATTTAATTAGAGAGAGGAATTGAACATTAAGACGGTATGGACAGGCACGCTGTATTGCTTTCCTCAGTAGCAACATACCAATATGACTTGTCTATAGTGTTTAAATGTCGAATTTGATTCCCTCGCCGAGACAGTCTGCTGGTAAAAGACAAAACAGTTGTTACTTTGCCCATATCATCACAATTAGCGACGGTTACAATGCTGCATAGAGTACACAGAGTAACGTGTTTCATTGAAGCTCCACTGTACTGTTTACGATGTTATGACACGTTTATCGTTCTAGTATGACGTTCGTTAGAATCCACGACCAATACACACAACTCAAATAATTTCTAGAATTAAAAACCTAACACCAGCCATATCAAATAGTTGTCCATATTTTCATTTGTTCTTACATTACACGCCATTTTATTGACTGTGACTACAGTTTGATTATTAGATTTTTGTTGGAGGGCGTAAATACACCTGTGTCAGAATCTTAGTAGATTGCGTTATTCAGGTTTTGGCAATAATACTATTTTCTCAAGAGAAAACGTAACGCGCTGATCGATTGAAATGTTTTCCTCCATAAAATATATCCCTTGACCATATGGATTGGTAAGCTTTGTACATCCTGGTATTATTCCTTCCAAAGGACTCTTTAAGCAAACAGGTTATGTGTTTCGCACACGAAGTCATGAAAGACATGTCTCCTCTTTCTATTGCCGTCATCACAATTTCGCTAATTAATTAACAAGAGAGATCTCCAATTAAATTTGAGACAAGTGGTTAAAACTTGTGCTCAATCCAAGTGCTTTACATTGTATCTTATACAGGAAACCAAAACGATCAATGTTTTAATATTTGCAATTTCGTTCAATCTGATCACATTAAAAAACTGTTCAATTTGATCACATTAAAACACTGTTCACGTATTTGTCGATAGGTTTCCTATGAATTCAATAACGTCAACACAAATTCATAGCAAACATTCCCGTTCTACTTTCCACTTTTTTTACTTTTGTGCTTTTTTCTTTGAGCATCAACGTCTGGAATGTCTACAGGTTTTTCCTCTGGATAAACCTGTGTTGCTACTGTGATCCCCCAAAGTTCCCGTTTGGTAAGGTCTGAGGTATCTAATGCGATATTCCAGGCATCGACTGTCGGCATCCACGTTTCCGGATCCGGACGCAGTTCGCTTTTGATAGTAGCAGCGACGCGGGGCCATTGCCAGTGTCGAATTCCAACATTGTAAAATGGTGCCGGAGCCACAAAGTTCAATATACTGGGGACCTCTACATTCTCTATCACAATCGGTATCACTCTCTTTTGACGCGCTCCTGTTAAACAAAATTACGTTGTATTTTTAAATGCGTGAAGTTTANAAGACAAAACAGTTGTTACTTTGCCCATATCATCACAATTAGCGACGGTTACAATGCTGCATAGAGTACACAGAGTAACGTGTTTCATTGAAGCTCCACTGTACTGTTTACGATGTTATGACACGTTTATCGTTCTAGTATGACGTTCGTTAGAATCCACGACCAATACACACAACTCAAATAATTTCTAGAATTAAAAACCTAACACCAGCCATATCAAATAGTTATCCATATTTTCATTTTCATTTGTTCTTACATTACACGCCATTTTATTGACTGCGACTACAGTTTGATTATTAGATTTTTGTTGGAGGGCGTAAATACACCTGTGTCAGAATCTTAGTAGATTGCGTTATTCAGGTTTTGGCAATAATACTATTTTCTCAAGAGAAAACGTAACGCGCTGATCGATTGAAATGTTTTCCTCCATAAAATATATCCCTTGACCATATGGATTGGTAAGCTTTGTACATCCTGGTATTATTCCTTCCAAAGGACTCTTTAAGCAAACAGGTTATGTGTTTCGCACACGAAGTCATGAAAGACATGTCTCCTCTTTCTATTGCCGTCATCACAATTTCGCTAATTAATTAACAAGAGAGATCTCCAATTAAATTTGAGACAAGTGGTTAAAACTTGTGCTCAATCCAAGTGCTTTACATTGTATCTTATACAGGAAACCAAAACGATCAATGTTTTAATATTTGCAATTTCGTTCAATCTGATCACATTAAAAAACTGTTCAATTTGATCACATTAAAACACTGTTCACGTATTTGTCGATAGGTTTCCTATGAATTCAATAACGTCAACACAAATTCATAGCAAACATTCCCGTTCTACTTTCCACTTTTTTTACTTTTGTGCTTTTTTCTTTGAGCATCAACGTCTGGAATGTCTACAGGTTTTTCCTCTGGATAAACCTGTGTTGCTACTGTGATCCCCCAAAGTTCCCGTTTGGTAAGGTCTGAGGTATCTAATGCGATATTCCAGGCATCGACTGTCGGCATCCACGTTTCCGGATCCGGACGCAGTTCGCTTTTGATAGTAGCAGCGACGCGGGGCCATTGCCAGTGTCGAATTCCAACATTGTAAAATGGTGCCGGAGCCACAAAGTTCAATATACTGGGGACCTCTACATTCTCTATCACAATCGGTATCACTCTCTTTTGACGGGCTCCTGTTAAACAAAATTACGTTGTATTTTTAAATGCGTGAAGTTTAACATGAACTATTATTGAAATTGTGCAGGCATTTTGTTGCAATTATTTTCATCGTAAAAAGTTTTCAAATTATTATAAGAACCATTTAAGTACGTCTTCTAACGAAGTGATCCCGTGACAATAGAATTGGACGACTTCTTATTGTCGAATGGTCTTCCCGCATATCATTTACAATTGTTGTATAACAGTATTTGATATATTATACAATTGCATTGTCTGAGGTACCTTGCAGCATCGAGGTGAAACAATTTACCAGCTACATAATGTGGTGTGATTGTAGTAGCCCACTCATGTGCCTCTGCTATTGGGATATAACCAATGATCTCCTGTCCTCAATTCAATACTTCAAATCTTTATCTTTTTCGTTTTCTTCGTTATCTATCTGACGACATCTGCTGTAAACCCAATATGTCTACCTTGTATAACTTGACTGTGGTTTGATTATCCTTAAAGCTATACAATAAAGTAATAAATGTATGAGGTAAAGAAGAGTACAATGTGACAGTCGGAGAAAGGTGTTGTTACCTGGCGACAGAGCATGTGCAAACTTAAGCTGGAAGTCTGCAGCTGGGCTATTGTTGAATGATTTAGACACAATCACAATGCATCGCCGACATCTGCAAAACGAATTAAATACTAATTACAATTGTTTAAACGGAGACCAGCAGAAAACATACCTCCACTTATGAAAACGACGAACTTTTTTTAATATTTTTATATCTCTAATGTACTTAAATATAAAATTGAATAACTAATTAAACGTAATTAACTTTATTATCCAATACTCCAATCCTCCACTCCCCTATACACATCCGCATTAATTAATCACTGGTTCCTGAGCTCAAAGTCTAGCAGTTCAGGGTTGTGGATAAATGGTTGCTAAGTTCGGTATCCGTCAGATTTTTGTGGTATAAGTATCAAACCAACTGAAACGAAGTGACCAACCCCAACGTTAAAACCTGTTAGTCAGTATGTCCGTAAAACACTTTAGTCAGTATGAACGTAAAACCTGTTAGTCAGTATGAACGTAAAACACATTAGTCAGTATGTCTGTAAAACCTGTTAGTCAGTATGAACGTAAAACACATTAGTCAGTATGCCCGTAAAACCTGTTGCGTACGTACTTTTTCTCTATAATGGCTGCCGATACTGAATGCATTGCTGTTCCTACTAAATCATCTCTCCAGGGAATGAACAGACGGAAATTGTATTCCGGACCCTCAAGAATCCGACTCATTTCTTTAACAAACTCCAGCTGGTCCGAGGCGTCAGGGTNGCTACAACATAAACATAATACTACATAACGTATGTCTTAACATATATCACTTTGTATAAGAATTTAGAAATAAATTTGTTTATCTCCTAATATCTGTTTAAAATCAGTAAACAAAATGTAATTAACAAGATCATTTATATATGCATATATTGTATTGTAACTTATTCACACAAATACGCGGAGGACGTCTGATGATGAACAATTTCATCCTGCCTCTATACCTATAATATAAGTATATCTATAATAGACAGACAACACATAAAGTGATGACGTCGAATACCGCAATGTTTGGCGTGATATTTGTAGTTCAAACTTCTGATTGGTTGAGATGCTTGGCGATGAAATTATCACGCAATTGTATGTTATGTGCATTTTTTTCTGCAATTAAAACATATTTACTAACTATGAATTAAAAAGTGTTGAATGACTTTTTAAAATATATTATAAGGGATTACAAGAATTATTGTTGGGGTTATACGGTGCATACCGAAAAACCTGTGTAAACTTATGCAAAGTGCAAACACTTTTTTCGGTATTTACCATATAATCCCAAAAGTAATCCTGGTAATACCTTAAATAGTTTAGTGTGAAAGAAGTCTAACACTTACCATCCGATACAGTTTCTATTTTGTCCGGTGGAGGAGATGAAGGACTACTCGGATCTAAACAGGAAAGAAGAAACAGATTTTCCCCATTAAACTGATTCACAGCGTGCCACAATACAATGAGATACGGATTGACAATAACGTACAAACCACTTGTTGAACAGATGTTGGCTACTAGGTGTAAATCGACAAAACAGCTGTATGTTCCTTGATTGATATGCTTTGAAATGTGTCCAATGACACCAAATAACCCGGATGTTTCTGGTTTATCAGGTGAAGCATTGATTACTTACTTAGTAATCAGGTGTGGTAGGTTTGTTTTTTAACCAATTGAAAACTGTTTTTGTCAAGGTACGTAGGTAAAGCATCTGTACAGTGAAAAATATAAGGAAGTCATATAAAACGTGATAACAAATGATAATCTGGTAGTGTAAAACGTAAGTAATTGATATGTAAGGTGAAGTGCAAAATAAATCACTAAAATCACAGTGGTTAATGTAAGAGTGTTGCTTTTGTTACACGATATTGAAATGCTGCCAAATAGTGTATTGCGGAACGTCTCGGTGTGAACACACATGTATTCCCTAACTTGGTAACACGGATGACACCCTTGGACAAGGTATGCAGAACATTGTGATCGTAAAACACATCACCTGTGTATAACCAGTCCCGGATCCGTGTAACTCGCTCTCACATGATTAGAAACACTAATGTGATTGTTTCACAAAGTAGCTTTTGAATATGGACATATATTCTGAAAACACAATCAATCAACAAAATATGACTCATCAAAAGTTTAATGGAGGAAAAGTACCCATACCGAGCCAAAACAATATCAAATAAAAGAAAAGTATCAATTTTCCCCAAAAAAAACCAGGTACAAGATGTTGACATGTCAAGCTACAATTCGCCTTTATTGGGGTTTTTCGTCACTATCTAAGTCTTTAACTCTCCGGGATCGGCAGGAATTACTACAGTGTTACTTACAAACCATTGCATTTAATTACAATATGGAATTCTGATATGAACTATCTTAAAAAGGGGTTCTTGATACCTGTACGATAAATATGTTGTTTTCAGTTTTACTGTACCTCTACAGGGATAATGGGTCAGTTTGGTGCGAAAGCATCGACCTCTATATATTACTGATTCTCCTATGATATTAAGTACCATAGGGGAGTCAGTTATATGTAATAAACTCTACAGTATCCCAAAAAACAAAACGCATATTGTTAATAAGATGCCCAATCAACGGGAGCTGTACAGACAAAACAATGGAGATTTGAGGAGGAGAACCTTAGTTCTATGTATGTGCTCTAAAACATCTTAAGGCCTGTGGACTAGTTAAGTTTATGACGTTCAAAAGAGGTCGACCTTGATAGGGATTCGTCACTGATAATCTATTAGCTAACGTGACATTCTCTGTCTATTTATATTTATATATTTATATCTAAATATAAATTATCAGTGACGAATCCCTATCAAGGTCGACCTCTTTTGAACGTCATAAACTTAACTAGTCCACAGGCCTTACAACATTATTTATATCTATATATTCATATTATATATCATTATAGAATGTTACCTTAGATAATGAATGTGGTAAAATATTTCCGTGGGTTGGTGCTTACAATGTATTATTAGTGAAAGTGTGAGTATGTGGCAAGACCTTGTTCGACGGCTTGTAGCAAAAGGTCTTTGTTTATTCTCACGCTTTCTCTGTTTCTAACAGTTAAAACTCATAACAATTGACTTTCATTCCACTTGTTTAATATTATTTGTTGGTAGTTTCGTGTACAACAGAGAAATTAAATACAACATTATCGGTTGATTGTTCGAAAACGTTTAACAAGCATTCGTACTATGTAATAGAACATAGTTGTGGATGACCAAATAGAACTTGAATCACGCTCTTGAAGCTCTTTTTTACGATGGCCGACAAGAGCCTGACAAAAAAAATATGAATTTTCATAATTTTTTGTACCAAGGTACACTTTTATATGGTACACAAAGATATGAAAATTGAAATCATTTCGTACCATGCGTGGTATATAAAGATTATAAACAACTTTACAAAAAAACTCTTTACTTTCACATGTATATGTACCAACAGACGATATCAGCCGAAAAATGATTTGAATTTTCATATCTTTCTGTACCGTGGTACACTTTTGCCAGGTACAAAGAGATATGAAAGCGTCTCTCCTTTTTGTACCGCGTTACATTTTTTTCATTTATTTTTGTACAACCTACGGTGGCTGCGGGAACCGTAGCCCCTATGTCCGATTTCTTTTTATTGTTATCGGACCATAGAGAACATTTGCGAAGTTGAAGCAGATATAGTACATTAGAAATGTAAGTATTAGAAAAATAATCCATAATAACTTCCTTTTTAACGTAAAACATTTATAAAACTCGGTAAAGGATATTGAATAGTTGATTTCAATTTAAATGAGTAAGTAATAGTTTGGGTTTTCATTTGGTGCAATCAAAATTACAGAAATTCCCTGCGATAACTTTTCATTGCATGTGATGACAGTCTTATCAGGGTGTAATTTCACATGTTTCTGAACCATGGCTGTTTTCGGACGTTATTTTGGTACAGAAAGATACAAATGCAACGGGTTGATTTTATTTTTGCTTTCATATCTTTGTGTACCATGGTACACAAAAAATTCAATTTTAATATCTTTGGGTACCATATAAAAGTGTCGGCCATCGTACTTTTCCACTCAAAACACAATCTAAAGTCAGTAGTTATAACGGCCCACTTTACCTTGAAAGTCATACAGGGCTAAATGGAAAAAATCAGTTAACGGTAGTGGAAATTAGAAAGCTGAAATATTACAATGGGAAAGCAGGTCTTCTTCCATATCTCATTAAGAAAGATATTTCATTTCTACTTGGGTTCCACACATGTAAATCGCATTTTACTGTCATGTAATGGGAAGCAGTATGCAAACTTACTTTCCCCAAATCAGAAGGGAATATGATTCGATGACTACAGTAGGTATAACAAGATAACGAACCTCGGAATGTGGGATCGTCATATATCTTCTTGAGACTTTGTTGATTTTGTTTCCACTTCTTAACATCTCTTTCTACAACAAAGAAACAGAAACATGAAATATGTGACCACATTAACAAACCAATGGATACATTTCATTGAACAGGATTACAACGAAAGCGCTTGGCACGCTTTCTTTTTAATTTATCATTGCTATGCCGATGACACACAAATTTACATGGTCATAAAAAACAGGACAGTGTAATACAGTCTCAGAAAGTCTGGAAGCTTGTCTGACAGATATCAGTATCTGGATGAACGCCAACATGCTTAAACTTAATCAGGAAAAGACGAAACTAATCGTCTTTTCCCCTAAGTGTCAGCAAACAATGGCTCTCCAGCTCAAGGTTGGTGCCAGAACTATTGAGACTGTTCCAGCTTTTAAAAACCTAGGGGTATACTTTGACAGCTCTCTGAACATGGCGAAACAAGTGAACGCTATTGCCAAATCCTGTTACTACCAGATCAGGAACATCGGCAGTATTCGGCAGTTTCTAACTGCAGATGCATGCAAGATTTTGGTACATTCACGTGTTACCTCTCGGTTGGATTAACGTAACGCCCTGCTCTGTGGTATATCTGACAAACTAACTAGTCGTCTGCAGAGGGTCCAGAACACTGCAGCACGGTTCGTTACTCGTACTCGAAAGAGAGAGCACATCACACCTGCGCTTTATTCGTTGCACTGGTTACCTGTACGATACAGGTCGCAGTACAAAAATCTGGTATACACATACAAGGCACTGAATGGAACAGCTCCTCAGTACCTACAGGAGCTTGTTACCCTGTATCAGCCGTCAAGATCACTGCGGTCGGAGTCAGAATCTTTGTTGTGTGTCCCAAAATCTCGTACTGTGACCTACGGAAACAGATGCTTTGGGAGGGTTTCGGCTACGTTGTGGAATAGCTTACCATCTGCTATTAGGAAGTCGAATACCCTGGCCAAGTTCAAGAGGGACATAAAAACTCACCTCTTCACGTCTGCATTTTAGAATCTTTGCAAAGACGTCATGTAAATACCACCCTTTTATTTGTTCAATTATGTGCACATTGCTTGTTAAATGTATGAAAGTGATTGCAAGCCTTTGTTGTTTGTTTTCACAATTATAACCATTACTTTTATCCATATGTTGTAAAGCGCCTCAGAGTAATTTTACAAATTATATAGGGCGCTATATAAATGTTGTATATTATTATTATTATTATTAATTTCATAATTCTTCAATCCTATGTAAGGAGAGTGCCAAAATACGGAAACGTTTATCAGAACAGCAAATAATGATTTCGTCAAGCTGCATTTATAAATCAAACGTTGAGTTAAAATTTGGACATGAAGTCATTATTTAAAAAAAAAATACAATAGTATTTGTTCAACGCAGTAAAGTCAAGATATGGCCATTTCTGTCGTACATCGAGTGCATTTTTTCTTCGAACTCTGACGTAATAAAAAGAAAGGGACTTTCCCTTATTTATCTACTAATACTTGTTGTCAAATATTATGTTAAGTTTTAATGTCATAGATACCGTTTTACAAATAATCATAAATTGTTTTATTTATCTTAAGATATATATCGAACTATTATATGACGTCATAGTTTATGACGTCACAACATATACTTCAATTAAACAGTCTGAAGAATTTCCTAGAAGAGATGAAAGTACTAAAGATTCGTTGTCGAATATTTGTAGTAACGAACACATCTTGCAGTATATCCAGAGACGAGATTTAATTGCACCGTTGATCATAACAATATGTATTGTACTGGGAGTGTTCTCCAAAACAAGTCAATAAGAAATAACATCGATGATATATATCAGTACACTTTTAAAGTCAAATTGTTGTCTTTCTATTGAAACAAATTTAAAACATGATCGAGGGATACGTTGTTTCATGTCTTACTAGTCGAACAAGTTCATAACTTTAACACTTTCCTTGGTACATAAACAATCATCCATTTAAAATAGAATGGAGTATGCAGTGCCTATACATGTGATGTTTATTTTATCTCAGAATCAATAACCCCTTATCAGTGCCCTGTAAGATCATACAGGTAAACATAGTAAAATGCAGATTGTGTGGTTACAATGTCGACAATTCAACCCTATAAGGTTACTCATAGGCATAAACAAGTAATCTTTTTGTAAATTTAGAAGCAAAATAGGCCTTTTTTCATTTCACGTACTCAACGACCCGTAAGCAAGGAAAACATAAGAAACTAATCTGTTCATTTAAGATTATTGCATTGGGATATACCAGGCCAATTCTTTTCCGATATCAGCATCAACCCATTAGCTACGTGAGTAGTACATCCCAAAAAGTAATAAACGATAGTTCGTCCTGTTATTACGGTGCAAATGTTGGCTTAATAGATACAGAACTTCTGTACTTAAAAATATTGTGTATATGACATCACGGAAGGGTGCTAATTATAATCGTATAGGATATCATGGAAGTGTGCTAATTATAATCATATATGATATCACGGAAGTGTGCTAATTATATTCGTATAGTATATCACGGAAGTGTGCTAGTTATAATCGTATAGGATACCACGGAAGTGTGCTTATTATAATCGTATAGTATATCACGGAAGTGTGCTAATTATAATCGTATAATATATCACGGAAGTGTGCTAATTATAATCGTATAGGATATCACGGAAGTGTGCTAATTATAATCGTATAGGATATCACGGAAGTGTGCTAATAATAATCGTATAGTTTATAACGGAAGTGTGCTAATCACAATCGTATAGGATATCACGGAAGTGTGCTAATTATAACCGTATAGGATATCACGGAAATGTGCTAATTATAATCGTATAGTATATCACGGAAGTGTGCTAATTATAATCATATATGATATCACGGAAGTGTGCTAATAATAGTATATCACGGAAGTGTGCTAATTATAATCGTATAGGATACAACGGAAGTGTTCTAATAATAATCGTATAGTATATCAAGGAAGTGTGCTAATTATAATCGTATAGTATATCACGGAAGTGTGCTAATAATAATCGTATAATATATCACGGAAGTGTGCTAATTATAATCGTATAGGATACCACGGAAGTGTGCTAATTATAATCGTATAGGATATCACGGAAGTGTGCTAATTATAATCGTATAGTATATCACGGAAGTGTTCTAATTATAATCGTATAGGATATCACGGAAGTGTGTTAATCATAATCATATATGATATCACGGAAGTGTGCGAATAATAATCATATATGATATCACGGAAGTGTGCTAATTATAATCGTATAGTATATCACGGAAGTGTTCTAATTATAACCGTATAGTATATCAAGGAAGTGTGCTAATTATAATCGTATAGGATACCACGGAAGTGTGCTAATTATAATCGTATAGTATATCACGGAAGTGTGCTTATAATAACGTTTATGATATCACGGAAATGTACTTATTATAATCGTATAGGATATCACGGAAGTGTGCTAATTATAATCGTATAGGATATCACGGAAGGGTGCTTATAATAACGTTTATGATATCACGGAAGTGTGCTTATTATAATCGTAAAGGATATCACGGAAGTGTGCTAATAATAGTATATCACGGAAGTGTGCTAATTATAATCGTATAGTATATCACGGAAGTGTGCTTATAATAACGTTAATGATATCACGGAAATGTGCTAATTATTATCGTATAGGATATCACGGAAGTGTGCTAATTATAATCATATATGATATCGCGGAAGTGTGCTAATAATAGTATATCACGGAAGTGTTCTTAAAATAACGTTTATGATATCACGGAAATGTGCTTATTATAATCGTATAGGATAGCACGGAAGTGTGCTAATAATAGTATATCACGGAAGTGTGCTTAAAATAACGTTTATGATATCACGGAAATGTGCTTATTATAATCGTATAGGATATCACGGAAGTGTGCTAATTATAATCGTATAGGATACCACGGAAGTGTGCTAATTATAATCGTATAGGATACCACGGAAGTTTGCTAATTATAATCGTATAGTATATCACGGAAGTGTGCTAATTATAATCGTATAGGATATCACGGAAGTGTGCTAATTATAATCGTATAGGATATCACGGAAGTGTGCTAATTATAATAGTATAAGATATAAGTATATGCAGTGAATTTAAATCTGATCGCATATTTCTCAGGAATATCTTGTAAAATTACATTTTGTAAAGAACTGAAGCAGAATGCTATTTGATTTATTTTTAAACAAAAAGTTTTAGGTCAGATATTAATTTCTGTTTTTGTTTCCCTACTTATAACACAGGTAAAAGGCCACATATTACACTCGCATATGTATATAGTTTTACATAAACCACAACACGCACTTAATTTTGTAAACAGTTGGCATAAAGGGAACATTCTACCATTTATAAGTAATAAAAGCATGTTATTGCTTCTCAAATAAAGTTCATATTATCGAGGTATATATGTTTCTGTTCTTTTCCAAAATATAACTATGATGCTTACACAGACATACCAGAAAACAACTTATCATTCTCCCTTACCTATCATTTGACGACATTCGCTAATAACGTCAAACCTTTCAAGCTGAAAGAGGAAGCTTATGAGGTTCCCAACTGTTGGTTCTGGGTCATTCCGGGTGCTCCACAAGTGGAGCATTTCCTGTGTTGGACTCTTCTGACGTTTCATGTTTTCTATTTCCGGTTGTGAGAAGTTCAAAAGTTCAGCACAACCACACCAGTCGTTGAACATGTCCGAGTCTGGGATAAGACTTCCTTCCGGGTCCATGAACATGCCTATTTTTCTTCTACATCCATTGTTTAACGAGTTCATATGCACATCTTTCATCGATTCGATTAAGTTCTCGACTGTCGTTTCCGCCATTGCCTTCTATTTGGGTTTTTTAAACCAAGACTAGAAAGAAAAGAAATTAGTGTTAAAGTACACAACTCTCCATGAGGTGTGCTGTTGTTCTTTAGAGGGTTAGATTATACTCCACCCATGTTCACCAGTCCTTAGTGTATCCTGTTCAAAGCACGTAGCACGTTGTCAGGTACACCCTTGCAACAGATCCGAGGTGATACAGGTCAACCAATTTCACTGGGCTTGTACCGATGTTATGTCATGCACGACAGGGGTGATCGCCGATCCGCGAGTACTCACCTCTAGTACTGTGGAATTTCCCGAATATTCCCCGTTGCACTTCCTGTGCTTTCGGTTTGATTTAACTTCCGCCTTCAGACAAGACACTTCACATGTGTAACGATACCACACGTGTGACAAGAAGTATGTAGCTTTGTTTACGCAATGTATATTTACATATACCCTTTCATTCACAGAGAACTTTCTGCTCTCAAACTGTGTATTGATAATAAACCTAAAACAACAGGTAAAGACAGGTTTCCTTCAGCAATATATCAGACTATAGAGCTTGTGAATGTAAAAAATCTTAAAGTAGATACTTCAGGGTTCAAGTACATGTGTGTTAACAAATCACACACATATACCCATACCCATAGAATTGAACGGAGTTCCGGTTAATCATTTGTTGATTTGATAATATGCTTGATATTTGTAACGTCTAATAGCTGCTTTTAGTTCCTACTTTTATGTTTGATAAAATGTGTACATACGCTTATAACAATAAAAGATTTGTATGTAGCAGACGACCCTCGAAATGTCCTTATCGAAACTAAGTGTCAGGGTGGCTTAGATCACAGAGGGGAATATGAATGTAGTTAATTTTAACGGATGAGAGGTTCACAGCAATTTCGCGGGCATTTTAATTTGGCTTGATCATTTGTTTTAATAATTATATTAAAAATGTGGTTACTTGAAACAATGACATAATATACGCATCCTTTATTTATGTCATAAGAGGGGTTTTATGTAACTTATAAAAAGTAAATTAACAAGTTACATAAATACAATTCATAAACAAGGACAGAGACTCATAAGTCCCTCTTTCTAATACATTATTAGATTCGACCGTTTTACTAAAATGTTTTTCGTAAGTGTGGAAAATATTTCGTTATATTCAATTATATATTTATAACCTATTATGCAAATATTTTTAGCGAGAGAATACAGTTTCAATTAATACAATGATTATAAAAATCTGCGCCTTTTCTCTTTCAGCACATTAGTTATGTGACTACAGAAAAGGAAAGGTAGGTCAACATTACTGTACCTCATTGCCTAACTTGGCAGTAACATTCAAACAGGGTTTCGTCTTTAAACTTTGATAGTCAAATTATATATTATGTTATTACCGATAGTATTGCTGAATGCTGCGAGAAGAAAGTAACTCCTGTATACGTCAGCCAATAGGAACACGGCACGTTATCAGGTTACAAAGCTATAAGTCATAGCAAGGTAAGGAACTAGACGGACATGTCAGGTTATCGAACTCTGACGAATCGTATCAGGAATAGTATTGATTGAAATTAGAGATCTCAGTCTTTACAATCGTAACCGGGTGTGTAATCAGATCACTGCAATATTGTTATAGAGAAGTACCCAAATTACGTCAGAGTGACACATCAGGAATAATTTCTGTGTCGATTACAGATAATCATTGCTGAATAAAAATTTAAGGCTGACTATACTTCCTGACCAGATGGACCCAAAGTGACTTTTGAAGAAGGCTCTTTCTTCCTGTATACTTATTGATCATTTTACATCACCAAGTAGTTAACTCTGTAGGAGGGCTATCAGTCTAAAATGGTGGTCGTTACTCTGTAGGAGGGCTATCAGTCTAAAATGGTGTTCGTTACTCTGTAGGAGGGATATCAGTCTAATATGGTGTTCGTTACTCTGTAGGAAGGCTATCAGTCTAAAATGGTGGTCGTTACTCTGTAGGAGGGCTATCCGTCTAAATTGGTGATCGTTACTCTGTAGGAGGGCTATCAGTAAAAATTGGTGGTCGTTACTTTGTAGGAGGGCTATCAGTCTAAATTGGTGATCGTTACTCTGTAGGAGGGCTATCAGTCTAAAATTGTGGTCGTTACTCTGTAGGAGGGCTATCGGTATTAAATGGTGGTCGTTACTCTGTAGGAGCCCTATCAGTCTAAAATGGTGATCGTTACTCTGTAGGAGGGCTATCAGTATAAAATGGTGATCGTTACTCTGTAGGAGGGCTATCAGTAAAAATTGGTGGTCGTTACTTTGTAGGAGGGCTATCAGTCTAAATTGGTGATCGTTACTCTGTAGGAGGGCTATCAGTCTAAAATTGTAGTCGTTACTCTGTAGGAGGGATATCAGTCTAAAATGGTGTTCGTTACTCTGTAGGAAGGCTATCCGTCTAAAATGGTGGTCGTTACTCTGTAGGAGGGCTATCAGTCTAACATTGTAGTCGTTACTCTGTAGGAGGGCAATCATTATGAAAAATGGTGGTCGTTACCCTGTAGGAGGGCTATCAGTTGAAATGGTGGCCATTATCCTGTAGGAGGGCTATCATTACTTTGTAGGGGGGCAATCAGTATAAAATCGTGGCCATTCCTCTGAAGGAAGTCTATCAGTCTGAAATGGTGGCCGTTATGCTGTAGGAGGGCTATCAGTAGGAGGGCTATCAGTCTAAATTGGTGGTCGTTACTCTGTAGGAGGGATATCAGTCTAAATGGTGTTCGTTACTCTGTAGGACGGCTATCAGTCTAAAATGGTGGTTGTTACTCTGTAGGAGGGCTAACAGTCTAAATTGGTGATCGATACTCTGTAGGAGGGCTATCAGTAGGAGGGCTATCAGTCTAACATTGTAGTCGTTACTCTGTAGGAGGGCTAACAGTCTAAATTGGTGATCGTTACTCTGTAGGTGGGCTATCAGTCTAAAATTGTAGTCGTTACTCTGTAGGGGGGATATCAGTCTAAAATGGTGATCGTTACTCTGTAGGGGGGCTATCAGTCTAAATTGGTGGTCGTTACTCTGTAGGACGGCTATCAGTCTAAAATGGGGTTCGTTACTCTGTAGGAGGGATATCGGTCTAAAATGGGGATCGTTACTCTGTAGGAAGGATATCAGTCTAAAATGGTGGTCGTTGCTCTGTAGGAGGGCTATCAATCTAAAATTGTAGTCGTTACTCTGTAGGGGGGATATCAGTCTAAAATGGTGATCGTTACTTTGTAGGAGGGCAATCAGTATAAAATCGTGGCCATTCCTCTGAAGGAAGTCTATCAGTCTGAAATGGTGGCCGTTATCCTGTAGGAGGACTATCCAGCTAAAATTGAGGTCGTTACTTTGGAGGAGGGCAATCAGTATAAAATCGTGGCCATTCCTCTGAAGGAAGTCTATCAGTCTGAAATGGTGATCGTTTCTCTGTAGGAGGGCTATCAATCTAAAATTGTAGTCGTTACTCTGTAGGGGGGCTATCAGCCTAAAATGGTGGTCGTTACCCTGTAGGAGGGCTATCAGTAAAAATTGGTGGTCGTTACTTTGTAGGAGGGCTATCAGTCTAACATTGTAGTCGTTACTCTGTAGGGGGGATATCAGTCTAAAATGGAGTTCGTTACTCTGTAGGAGGGATATCCGTCTAAAATGGTGGTCGTTCCTCTGTAGGAGGGATATCAGTTGAAATGGTGGCCATTATCCTGTAGGAGGGCTATCATTACTTTGTAGGAGGGCAATCAGTATAAAATCGTGGCCATTACTCTGAAGGAAGGCTATCAGTCTGAAATGGTGGCCGTTACTCTGTAGGAGGGCTGTCAGTATAAAATGGTGATCGTTACTCTGTAGGTGGGCTATCAGTCTAAAATTGTGGTCGTTACTCTGTAGGGGGGCTATCAGCCTAAAATGGTGGTCGTTACCCTGTAGGAGGGCTATCAGTCTCAAATGGTGGCCGTTATCCTGTAGGAGGTCTAAAATGGTGATCGTTACTATGTTGGAGGGCTATCAGTCTAAAATCGTGACCGTTACTCTGTAGGAGGGATATCGGTCTAAAATGGTGGTCGTTGCTCTGTAGGAGGGATATCAGTCTAAAATTGTGGTCGTTACTCTGTAGGGGGGCTATCAGCCTAAAATGGTGGTCGTTACCCTGTAGGAGGGCTATCAGTTGAAATGGTGGCCATTATCCTGTAGGAGGGCTAAAATGGTGATCGTTACTCTGTAGGGGGGCTATCAGCCTAAAATGGTGGTCGTTACCCTGTAGGAGGGCTATCAGTTGAAATGGTGGCCATTATCCTGTAGGAGGGCTATCATTACTTTGTAGGAGGGCAATCAGTATAAAATCGTGGCCATTCCTCTGAAGGAAGTCTATCAGTCTGAAATGGTGATCGTTTCTCTGTAGGAGGGATATCAGTCTAAAATGGAGTTCGTTACTCTGTAGGAGGGATATCCGTCTAAAATGGTGGTCGTTACCCTGTAGGAGGGCTATCAGTAGGAGGGCTATCAGTCTAAAATGGGGATCGTTACTCTGTAGGAAGGCTATCCGTCTAAAATGGTGGTCGTTACTTTGTAGGATGGCTATCAGTCTAAATTGGTGGTCGTTACTCTGTAGGAAGGCTATCAGTTTGAAATGGTGGCCGTTATCCTGTAGGAGGGCAATCAGTTGAAATGTTGGCCGTTATCCTGTAGGAGGACTATCCATCTAAAATTGAGGTCGTTACTTTGTAGGAGGGCAATCAGTATAAAATCGTGGCCATTACTCTGAAGGAAGGCTATCAGTCTGAAATGGTGGCCGTTATCCTGTAGGAGGGCTATCAGTTGAAATGGTGGCCATTATCCTGTAGGAGGGCTATCAGTATAAAATGGTGGTCGTTACTCTGAAGGAGGGCTATCAGTCTAAAATGGTGATCGTTACTCTGTAGTAGGGCTATCAATATACAATTTTGGACGTTACTCTGTAGGAGGGCAATCATTATGAAATGGTGATCGTTACTCTGTAGGAGGGCTATCCGTCTAAAATAGTGGTCGTTACTCTGTAGGAGGGCAATGAGTATAAAATGGTGGTCGTTACTCTGTAGGAGGGTATATCAGTCTAAAATGGTGGTCGTTACTCTGTAGGAGGG